ATTATTAGGGGGGGGTTTATTAATATGAGGAAGCGATTATATTGGGGCTGGGATAATATTGTAACCCGTAGTGTCGAGGCCTAAATGCTTGGAATATTGAATAGGGCTTGCGGCATATATCTGTTTCAAGATTAAAAGCAATAAAGCTGACATTAACTGGACCAGCTCCTGCTCCTCTACTCTACTGCTCAACTGTTGGCGAGCTTACACCTTCAGACGCCTTGCCAAGAGCTTGGAGCCTTCGAAAGTGATGAAAATCGTGGAATTCTGGACGAAGCCCCATCCATCTCAGAACTCCAGAACCACATTCGACTTCAGCTTCTGTTTTGACTTGCTGGTCGTCAGTTCTTACCGAGGTTTCTTCACAGAAATGAAGCTTCAGGATGGGAGCCTTAATGTCGCCCTGACATGGCATGTGCGACAGCAACCCTACGAGAATCCGGAAGCCGTGAACGCCCAAGTAAAGATCAGGATCACAAGCATATTCAACCTCCTGTCCCGCTGAGAGCATGGCTTTCTCGAGATTCTTGTCCTCAGCTATCTGTTGCAAGGACATGTCAGAAAGGAGTTCATTTCGTGCACCTTTCCTTTGCATCCTCATGGTGCGCATGACCAGTGTATCTACAACTACGGCTAGAAAAGATGTGGCTTCAAACCCTGACCACTAACCCAGACCCTTGGTTTGGGTTCCCTCCCCTCAATAGAGATTACAACAGGAATCCTGATAGTAAGGCCCATAAAAGGAAGGGGTCTATTCATGATGGGTCTACATCAAACCGCGAACTCAAGCCTTGCTTTTTCCAAGGTTCTGGATGGTATTTCAAAGCCAACTTCCGATACGCCTGTCAGAGGACGTGGTCCGTGCGAAGGAGGTTCTTGTGGGACATCTTTTCTTACGTAGGGACTGTGCCCCGCCAGTCTGAGCAGGAGGCCTTGAGGTGCAAAGGGTCAAAGGTTTTTTCCTGTAGTCTCCTTTGACCTATAAACAAGGATAATATATTTAAAAAATTCCTTAGGGTTATACTATAACAAACATTACAAATTAATTCCTAAGGACATTAAAGTTTCTTTGAGGGCTTCCAAAGGTTTCAACGACAAGGACCCCGATTCTGACTGCAACAGGTCAATATCCAAATGAGGGCTCGGGCGGGATGAAGCACAACCGAGGAAACCCTCTTGTACATATCGCGCGGAATTTTTTGGGCTTGAGCATGCTGAGTCTGATGAAGATCGCCCTGCAAATTCACTCCTGAGTCCTGCAAGTGCTGCCAGACTGACAGCCTTTTACCCCCATAAACTCAAAACCCTAATGATTCCCGAATGATTGCGGGTGCTCAAGGACGGAGACACCTGGCCTTTCGGACATCATCCAGAGTCGCCGTGTTCGGCCTTGCTTCGCAGCACAATGTAACATATAGGAAAAAGGCTTTGAGCTATGCTCTGATGCCCCAGATTTGCAAAGGCTACAAGGGAACGCGTCTAATGTTTTTGAGGCCATCTCAAAGCTACGCACAAATTTGGGCGATTGGTGGGTTACGGTTTGACAGGTTGAGGAGTGGACGCTGTAGCTTTCTGCAAGGCTTTTGCAACTCCTCCTACATCGATTTAGGGACCGCCGTGCCATCAAAAACCTGTACCCTAAACGCTCAGATTTAGGGGTACCTCAACCCTTAACTTAAAGGGAATTCCGGGACTTCCTATAGAACTATCCGCTCAAGTCTCCTGTTACGCATACTACGAGGTTAGTTTTGATTCTGCTGATGCAGACTCATATCGGCTGCAGTCAATATTACCCAGGTAACTAATTAGTTGTCATGGGTTCCTTGTTAGGACTACACTAGGGACTATGCAAAGCTAATCTAAGCTATACTAGGTACACCTATGTCCTCTGTTAAGGGTCACTTAATAAGCCTACACTCTAAGCCCCTGAACCCCTAAACCCTAAACGACAGTAGCTCATAGGAGAAAGCCACAGCTCAAATGCCCTACTGTTAGCACACAAAAACAGGCGCTAAAAGGCTCAGCCACAATAGTAGTAAAGGATTTTGGTAACCCAAACTCCCAAATATCAGGGTTATATAGTGATTAGCGTTTAGAATTTTGGTAACCCCAGAACCTAAAATTAGGACCCTATGATACCCTACGACTATCATATGATGGCTATTGGGTCCTAATTTTGGGGGTTGGAGTTACCAAAATCCCCTTGTCAAATAATGGCACCACCACGCACCATCCAAAAGACATGAGGTCGGTAGATAAAGCATCGGCTGAGGCTGTGGCAGCTTCAGGGTGCGGAAATGCTTGGTGAGAGCTTGACG